GGGGTGTGAAGCCCCACAGAGCCCTCAGGATTGATGAGGTCAGCCCTGCCTGCTGCAGGCTGTGGGGGTCCACGGGGGTGTGGGAGGCAGGGGCTGGCACTGTCACAGGGGCTGGGATAGGTCTCAGTGCACGGTGACTCTCCCCCTCTTGGAGTCCTGCAAGCCCCGAGGAGCAGCAGTTCCTCCCCTCCAAGGGTGTTGTGCCACCTCCCACCGCTCACTCTCCCCCTCTCGGAGTCCTGCAAGCCCTGAGGAGCAGCAGTTCCTCCCCTCCAAGGGTGTTGTGCCACCTCCCACCGCTCACCCCCCCAAACTCCCAGGGGTCCAAGGTGACAGTGAGGAGCCACCACTGTGTTGTCCTTCTCACCAGCCCCTTCTTTGCAGGCATGGCTGCCGGACGGTCATCGCAAGCCGGAACCTGCAGCGAGTGTCAGAGGTGAGTCTGGGGGCTCCAGCGGGAGCTGGGTTTTAGGGTGTGGGTTTTAGGGTGGAGATACCTTCCCCCCCCAGCTTTGGGAGTGTCCGTTCCAGGGATCACATCGCCCGTTTGTTGCTGAGACAGAGAGAAACAAACCGTGGCGAAGGTTTGTCAGCAGGGAAGTGGCGGAGCCCAAGGTTCAAACGTGAATCTCAGCCCCGTGTAGGGCAAGACCCCCTTGTCCAAGGGTTGTGTGGGCTGAGGTGGGGGCGCTGAGCCCCAAATTCTCAGGTATGTTGTGTCCTGAGATGGAGGGGAGGGTCAGGTCGGGAAAGTGGTGGGTGAAGAAGCTGTGTAAGACTGTAGCTACCCCGGGGATGAGCTGGGCAGAACAAACACCCGCCCCTGCCTGTCTGACCCCGGGCTGGAGTTTGGCTGATGGCATTTTCCATTCCTCACTGTGGCTTGTGCTGCAGTCTCGGGCTGAAACCCACTGTGAGAGAGCTTTGCGTAGCTGCGTGTGGAGTTCACCCAAATACAAAGATCAAAATCAGCATTTGGGAGCGAGCTGGCGTGACCCAGCTGCCTCCTGGAGGGGGTTAGTGCTGTCATTTCACGTTCCCTCATGCTCAGGAGCCAGAAAACAAGCCGCAAAGCTCAGCAGCTCTTTATTCCCCAGGGCTGGGGTCTTCTGAGTGCAGAGGGACTGTTTGCCCAAGCTCTTGGCGCTCGGTGCGGGTGGGCTCATAGCTCACAGAAGGGCCCAATGTGCTGGAGCAGGAACGTGGATGTTGCTGCTGAATTTATGTGTCCCCCGTGCTTAATTTGCTGGGGAGAGTCATGTTCTTAACGAGCTCCTGGGGGTTGGTTTGTGGCAGGTGATGAGCTGCAGAGCTGGCCCGCTCTGCCTCGCGGGCCGACCCTGGCAACTGCCTCCCTGCCTTTGCTCTTTTGCCTGCTGACATTTTTGGATTCTAAAGGTTAATTGTGGCTGGGCTCCTGCCAAAAATGCCTTGTTGGGGTCCAACATTTGCACTTGCCCTGCAGGGAGGTTGCTCGGCGTGTGCTGTGTGGATGAGAGGGCACGGGGGATAACTGGGCTTAGGGAGCTGTGGCCTCAGGGACAGCCTGGCTTTGAATTGGGACACGACGAGGAGCTTTCTCTGGCTCCCTCAAGGCACTGCCAGGCTGAAGCTGGCTGTGTTTAGGCAGGTCTCTCCCCTGCCCACGGTGCTTGCCGGGTGCTGGCAGGGACGTGGCTCCCACCTGCTACGAGCTCTGTGCCTACCCCTTGCGGAAGGAGAGAGTCTCAGAAAGAATCTCACCTCCCCATTGTTTTTTTCAGGCCTCTAAAAAGCTGGTGGCAGCCACAGGCCAGCAGTGCCTGCCTCTGGCCGTAGATGTCAGGCAGCCCCAGACCATCGTGGCAGCGGTGGATGAGGCGCTGAAGGAGTTCGAGCGGATCGACATCCTCGTTAACGGTGAGCTGCCAGAGTGGGAAGAGTGGGCACAGGCTCACTGCTGGGAAGGGCAGTTTTTCTGCCTGGAGGTTGTGTTTGCCTCATTTTGGCTTGTGCTGCTTTGGGCTGGGAGCATCTGGGCAGCCCCTGGGAGCACAAAGGGGATGGTCTTGGAGGAAGCAAAGCCATCTGACCATCCCTGGTCCCACTGCACAGCACCCTCCTTCTGGGCACCCAGAGCCACAAGCTGTTTATCCCCTTTTCAGGGCTGTTCCTCCAGACATTGTCACTCACTGTCCCTCTCGCAGAAGTGCCCTGAACCTGCCCGGTCTTTCCTGGTTCCATCCTGACTGTGTCCCTGGCTGCTTCTTCTTCAGGTGCTGCAGGAAACTTTCTGTGCCCAGCCAGTGCCCTGTCCTTCAACGCCTTCAAGACGGTGATAGATATCGACACCATCGGCACCTTCAACACCTCCAAAGTCCTCTTTGAGAAATATTTCCGGGTGAGTGTAGCCAGAGCACTTGCTGGAAAGGCTCCTGGTGGGCAGGGGGTTAGTGTCAAACCAGACTTTGCTCCTGAGAAATTCAGGGAAGCGTGGAGGGCAGGAGGGATGCACAGCACCCAGGTGCCCAGGGCCATGCTGCTGCCACTCACCCTACTCAGGTCCGGTCCGTTCCCTCCCAGGGGTGGCAGCCCCTGTGCAGGAACCAGGACTCCTGCCTGTCCCTAGCCCTGGGCTTTGACTGTTGTGGCACTTTTCCATCCTCTGCCACCTGCCAGGGAAGCAGCTGGGATCTGCTGCTGCTTTTCACTGAATTTTTAGAGTTGGAAGGGACCGTAGAGATCATCTAGTCCAACTCCCCTGCCAAAGCAGGACCACCCAGAGCTTGTCAGAGCATGTTACTCAGGAGCATCCAGGCGGGGCTTGAAAATCTCCAAAGAAGGGGACTCCACACCCTCCCTGGGCAGCCTGTTCCAGGGCTCCGTCACCCTCACCCTGAAAAAGTTCTTCCTCATATTTGAGTGGAACCTCTTCTGTTCCAACTTGTGCCCGTTGCCCCTCGTCCTCTCACTGGGAACCACTGAAAAGAGTCTGGCTCCCTCCTCCCTCAGCCCGCCCTTGAGATACTTGTAGGCATTGATAAGGTCTCCCCTCAGCCTGCTCTTCTCCAGACTAAAGAGTCCCAGCTCTCTCAGCCTTTCCTCATCAGGGAGATGCTCCAATCCTTGAATCATCTTTGTAGCCCTACGCTGGACTCTTTCCAGTAGTTCCCTGTCTCTCTTGAACTGGGGAGCCCAGAACTGGACACAGGATTCCAGTTGTGGCCTCACCAGTGCAGAGCAGAGGGGCAGAATGGCCTCCCTTGACCTGCTGGCCACACTCTTCCCTGTGCAGCCCAGGATTCCATTGGCCTCCTGGCCATAAGAGCACCCTGCTTGCTCAGTGTCATTTTGTTGTCCACCTCCTCTGCTTTCCCTCGGCCTTTGCTTGTCTCCTGCATCTCCCGGCTGCCCCTGCTCAATGGGGCTGGGTGGCCAGTGCTGCTTCATTGTGGGCTAGCAACGCAGTGCCCATGGATGACTGTCCCTCCTAGCCCACCTCTCTTGTCCCACCCCTCTCCTACGTGACTCCTTGTGCTGCTCCCTGCCTGATGCCACGTCTCCTTTCCTTCCCCAGGACCACGGTGGGGTCATCGTTAACATCACAGCAACCCTGAGCTACCGAGGGCGGGCCCTCCAGGTGCATGCTGGTTCTGCTAAAGCTGCCATAGGTACCTAAACCCTCCTTGCTGGGGCTCTGCGAGCTGTGTGGGGCCAGTAAGGAAGAGGTTCTTCCCAAATACTGGGATGGGAAGGTGTCCATGGGGAGAGGTGGATGTGAATCAGTGGGGTTACTACGTACCTGGGTTTGGGATGAGGCTCTTCTCTCCCCCAAGCACCCTTTGCTCTTGGGCAGAGTCTCCTGTGGCTTTTTGGGCCCCCCCCTTGCAAAAGTCACTGGAATGGCTCTGCTCTCCCTTTCTCATTCCCCTTGTAATCCCTTCCCAGATGCCATGACCCGTCACCTTGCCGTGGAGTGGGGACCCAACAAGATCCGAGTGAACAGCTTGGCACCAGGCCCCATTACAGGCACCGAGGGCTACCGGAGGCTGGGTAAGGCAACCTGGGGCTCCTGTCCCTGCCTCGGAGGTGGCCTGCTGGTCTGGGAGGGGACTGATGGGCCACCAGCGCCCCACGCTCATGGTGCTGGTGCTGGGCACAGCTGCCCTGTGACTTGACTGGCACATCTCTTTGGGGGAGCAGCCCTTTCCACATCCTCCATACCTCACAGTGCACTGATTTTTTTGGTCAAGTGGCTGCTTTTTGTGCTCCCTGATGCCATGATGTAACGTTCTCCCCCAAAGCTCAGCCTGGCCGGTTGCCTTGCCCGCTGGTGTAGCTCTCTTGCAGTGCCAGCTCAGCCCTGGAGTCTGGGAAAGCTCTTCAAGGTCCTGTCTTGAGCTCACTGTTGCAGAACAAATCCCACCACTGGCCTCGAGCTCCCCTCATTTCACTCTCTTCTCAGTCCCTTGTCCCCAGGATCTCATCTGGGCTCCCTGGGGCTCTCAGCAAGCCCCCTGGAAGCTTGTCTGGTGGCCCCGTGGTCCTCGCTGACTCTTTCTTCTACCTCTCAGGTGGGAGATTTGCCGAGGAGTCCAGCCTTTTCGACACGATCCCCCTCCAGCGCGCAGGAAACAAGACGGAGATCGCCCACAGCACGCTCTACCTGGCGAGCTGCCTCTCCTCCTACGTGACGGGCACCACCCTGGTGGTGGATGGCGGGAGCTGGCTGACCTCTGCCAACAACTTCCCCGCCATGCTGGGTATTGCTTCATCCTCTGCTAAACTCTAGGTGACGTGCCTTTCCCCCTCCCTGGGATTAGAGCAGGGCTCCTGGCAGAAACCCCATTGTCCCTGTGGTGTGGGGCCGTGGTTGCCCTACCCATGGGTACGGCCTTACCTCCTCCAAGTGTCACCCTGCGCCAGGGCCAGGCTCTGCCCCTCCTGAGGCAGCTTTTTTGGGGAGGAGGGGGCAGATGTTGGGGGTCAGGGTCTCCTGGTCGGCCCAATTCTCCACTTGGCAGTGCTTTTGTCAAGCCACCTTCTGCTCTGGGCAAGGTAGAGCAGGGTCATCCCCCGGTGCTGTCATCACAGCAGGGACCGAGCAACACGGGGAACATCTCTGAGTCCCAGGAATGATTTGGGAAGGGCTTTTTCTTCGGAGGTTTTTCCTCTGAGCTTGGGGTTGACATGGTATCTCTTGTGGTTCCTGCTGGAGGATCCTTGTCTGGACAATGTGAACCTGCTGGCAGGTACTAATTGCAACTACTTGCAGGAAGAGTGTGAGCAGCAGGTGGAGGGAGGTCATCCTGCCCCTCTGCTCTGCCCTGGGGAGGCCCCATCTGGAGCACTGGGACCAGTTCTGGGCTCCCCAGTTCCGGGGGGACAGGGAACTGCTGGAGAGGGGACAGCAGAGGCTACAGAGATGATGATGGTCTCTCTTATGAGAATAGGATGAGAGACTTGGGGCTTTTTAGTCTGGAGAAGAGAAGGCTGAGGGGGGATCTGATCAATGCCTATAAATACTTAAAGGGAGGGTGTCAGGAGGATGGGATCAGTCTTTTTCAGTGGTGCCCAGGGACAGGACAAGAGGAAATGGGCACAAACTGGAATAGAAGAAGTTCCACCTAAAGATGAGGAGGAACTTCTTTCGTGTGAGGCTGGTAGAGCCCTGGAGGGGGCTGCCCAGAGAGGTGGTGGAGTCTCCTTCTCTGGAGACATTCAAACCCACCTGGAGACATTCCTGTGCAACCTGCTCTGGGTGGACCTGCTTTAGCAGGGGGGTTGGACTAGATGATCTCCAGAGGTCCCTTCCAACCCCATGTGATTCTGTGACCTCCAGGTGTCCCCTGAAGCGACACGACGCCCCTTTTCTGGCAGGATTGGGCACAGAGAGCCCTGACAGCCTCTGCCTCCCCTTTCCTCTTTCCATGAGTTACTGCACGCAGGACTCGTGTTGTCTGTGTGTGTCTGCAAGGGTGGGAAGGACCTGCTCACTGGGGCCTGGTGGTTACTGGGAGAGGGGTCTCCTTCATTCCCCTCTCCCCCTGCTTGTGTCCTGCCTGGTGGCCTCAGGGAGCAGGACTTTTGTACCCACCTCCCCGCTGTCTTGCAGATTTCTGGGCTGCAGGAGCAAACAAAAATCAATGATGGGACAGCCTGGGATTGAGCCGTGGACAGAAGCGGGACCTGATGCTGCTGCTGCTCTGGGACATCTCGGGGTGACATCTCCTGGAGTCAGAGCCCATCGCTGCCGCCTCTGATCAGCGAGCAGTGGTGGTGGTGGTGGTGACACTGCTGATCCTGCCACCGCCTGGGGGAGGGAGCAGCGGGGGTGCTGGGTGGGGGGCACCCTCCTTCTGTGCCATTCCTTTCTTCTGAGCTGACACGGCTGAGGGCACGGGGACAACGCGGGGTGTCCAGGCTGTGATGTTCACCCGCCTATTTGTATCTCCTCCCAGTTGTTCTCCTGGCCTTTCCTGAGTCCCAGGCCCATGGATGTCCATCCTCTTCCTCTCCTCTCCCCCATCTCAGCCTGGGAAGCTGCCCAAGACCCCCAACTCCTTTTTGGGAGGGGGTTCAGCCCTGTCCAGGTTTTGGGTTCAGCCTGTCTAGGGTTGAGATAGGCCTTCGTGCTGGGGGCAGCTCTCAGTGGGGAGGGGGGAAGCAAGGACCAAACTGTCCCCTGGTAGGGGGAAACGGCCCCGTCCCCTTCCCTGGCTCCTGGATGGAGCAGCAGACCCCTGAGCAGGTTTGGCCAGGATGTCCCTGTCCCAGGAGCAGAGGTGGAAGCCCACCAGAGCTGGCTCTGCGCCGCTGTGGGCCATAGCACTGTGTCCTGGGGAGCCCCAGGCATCTGGGTGTCTGTCTGTCTGTCTGTCCCACCAGTCTCATGCTGTCTCCTCTCTCTGTAAAGCTGTGGGTTAATCAAAATCCAGCTGGAATTCTGTCCTTCCCGAGCTGCAGGGGCCACATGGGTGCCAGCACCTTGGTTTTGGGGGGGACACAGGGACACACGCACCCCGCTCGCGTGCGGTTCCTTTTCAAGCTTATCCCAAATTCCCTGAAGCTTGTTCTCCAACTTGATTGCCTTTCTGACTTGATTGTAGCCTTGCCAGGTGTTGCTCCTTCCCCCAGGCCACCAATAAAGAGCTTCCACCCTGAGCCGTGCCACCGCTCCTCCCTGAGGGGGGAAAACCACTGTTCCCACTAACGGAGCCCCAGTTCCTGGTGGCACTTGGGCCCTGGCACCCTAAACCCATTGGTGCTTGGGGACCTGCCACCTCCTCGGCCACGACTGGCTCTGGGGACGTGGTTCCAGCAGATTTTGGGTGGCAGAGGTGATGGGGAGGTGCTGAGGGTTTGGTGACAAACACCAATGGGGATGGGGCTCAGTGCTTGGAGCATTGTCCTTTGCCTGGCTCCCCTGGGGTTTGGTCCCCAGCCCCAATGTCCCTCTTCCTGGATACCAGGACAAGTATTTTCTCCAGGAGAAGGTCCTTGCGTGGTGTTTGTTGGTCCTGGCTGCTGTCTTCTGCTCTCTGACCTCCAGCCCTTCTTCTGCCAGGGTCCACCTCTTTAACTGCATCTTGTGAGTGGGTTGGGGACTGTCTGTCCCAGCATGTCATCGTGGATGTGGTGCCTCCTGGAGGCTTTTACCCAAACCCCTGGCAGCCCCTTGGTGAGAGGTTGGGGGACACGGAGACACTCCACGGGCTCTGGTGGGGGACTCTGTGCTGTGACATGCCATCCTCAGCCTGGGGTGACACGGGGACAGGGATGGAGAGGAGCGAGGTGAGGTTCTCCTCATCCTTCCTGCTGCAGGAGGAGCAGCCCTGGAGCTGCTGCCAAGCCCACACTGCTCCGGGCTCGCTGCTGAGCTGGGCTTGTGGCCCAGCTGGCATGGGGGCCACCCCATGTGGTGAGGAGGGGGCCAGACAAGGTGTGTGGACACCTCTGTGGTGGCCACAGCATGAGCTGAGGGTGACAGAAGCAAGGAGAGCTCCCACCCAGGGGTGTAGGTCCTGGTCCCATTGGGTGTTAGAGCCTGTGGGGGCTGTGCTGGCCCCGTGGCCACCAAGGGAGGGGGAAATGTCCTGTGGGACCAACTAATGAGCCTGTGGGGTGCTGGGGGACATGGCCAGGCTTGTCATGAGATGTCACATGTGTCCATGACCTGGTGATGAGGGGCCCTGGGCAGGGTCACGGCAGCTGAGGGGGCTCTTTGCTCATCAGGGTCAGGGCTAATTAGAGCCAGGGGTTGTAATTCTGTCCCCTGGGCCAGCTCATGGTGTCTCTGTCCCCTGGGGCTGGTGGCTCCATGGCCCAGGCAGGGCCAAGCCCAGCAGTGTGGGGGTGACCCCCCCCTGGGATGGGGGTCTGAGGGGGGGCTGGTGCTGAGGCGGTGTGGGGCTGGGGGGTGGCACAGGGCCCTGTGCACGGTGACCCCTCCGGTGGGCTGCACGGGGCCCAGTTTATGGTGGGCACCCTGTGGATGGTGACACACCCCCCCCCCCCGGGGACACATGGCCCCTGTGCACGGTGACACACGCACGTCCCTGGAGGCATGCAGGGACCCTGGTGTACAGTG